ATATGTTCTACTTTACATATATGCCTCCATTTCACCGGTTGCACACGTTATTATATTCTACAGTAAGATTTACAAGCACTAATCTTTTTTGCAACCTTCGATTCTCATGCTTGGTTGGGGATGAATGGATGATCGTTAGCTTTCGGTCTATGATTCTAAAGCACACAAGATATACATGCTGTCGGGAATAGATTACTGATCATGCTTAGCTATTTTAATCATGTTTTGTTTTGTAAGGATAATGATTGACAAACTAGTGTTTTACACTACCATCATCTATTGAGCTCAATCAAAACACGTCCATAAGGGCTGGTTTGGGGCAGGGGCAGCTGACATAATGCCATATCTTGAGCCAGATTCTAATTGCCCACGAGGCCCCATAATTTTTGCAACTTATTATTAGGTGAGATAGTTTACTCCGGTGAAATTGATTAAAGTGATTGAATTGGTTATACTTGCTGACTTGTAACAAAATTCAATTTAAAATATATTTTGGGATATTTTTACTTGGATCGTAATCCGTCCCAACCAATTCAGACCAGACTTGAATTGTTATAAAAATACAAAGAGATCATACATTATCAGATCAGACCATCAAATTAGGATGTTTTCTTTTGGACTATTTTCAGTTCTAGACCAGACCAGACTTAAACAGACCAGATCAGACCAGACCAGACTTCCGTAGTTATAAAATATACAGAGACCAGACGTTTACCAGACCAGACCAGATCAGACCAGACTTAAACAGACCAGACCAGCAAATTTCAGTCCAAAAGAAAACATCCTTACAATCCAAGTAAAAACATTCTTATTGTTAAAACGATGAGAAAAATTTGATATGCAAAAAATTATATTTAAAATATATTTTATTAACATAACAAAGAAGAAATTATATGAAAATGGTTAAAATAGCCATCTTCAACAAATTCAACTAGTTTTCTCATAGAATTAACTCTAATCTTACTTATTCTAATTACTATACAATTCCGCGTGTAAATTGAAAATTTCATATTTTGTAAAAAATTGATTGATAAGATTAATTAGGTGAAAAATGAGGTTATCAAACGAGCACTTTATTCTTTCAACAATTGTGTATGTTATTGATCTACATCGTGTAACTTTACTTGCTTATTAGCAAATCATATGCTGGAATTTATAAATTAATCTACATTAAGAATTCTACTAAACTGCGAGTAGTTATTCTCTTTATTAGTTTATTGGTATATAATTCACGTATAATTCATTTAAAGGTATAATATTCTCTCTATGTATTCTTTTGCAAAAAAAAAAAATCGTATAAATCCGTGTACTCTATTAATAAAATGTATAGTACTCGTATAATATTTATTTATATGTATTGATAGATATTCTATACAGGGATACCGCTAAGCTAGTGGCTAGAGAGAAGTTAGAGCAATAAGTAAGACAGAGAAAGTGTGGTTGCAATGAATAACCGATGGTCTGTTACAACTGCTCAAGGGGCGCTATTTATACTAGTCATAAGGCATCCTCATTGTTGGGATTATTTGGAGATCAACTTGATGATGTGGATGATCTTTTTTGTGATTATGGTTGAGAAAGGTGATTATTAGGAGTGATTATTTAGAAAAATAATCTGGTATCAAATTTTAAAGCTAGATTATTGTGAAATTATTCTACATTTCTACCACCTTTCATTATATCAAGTTTCGAGAATTGTGCTCCATGATTAAATGTGCATTACTACTTAGTGCATTAGGGAAAAATAATCAATCCACATTTCTAAAAATACAATCGACATACCAAATGCCATACAAACTTTCTTTTAAAATGGAATCATGCAAACCTTTTAATTTTACATTTCAAATTTTATTGAGAAACAATTAAAGATATGATAATTTTCGGTTGTTTTTTTATAAAAGATTTAAAAGGAAAATTTTTTGTTTATAAATTTGTGGTTTGTTATAACATACGTAATATATACTCATTTTTTTTTATGAATTTGCATTATCCTTTTCCTATTTTTTAATTATAAACGTGAGGTAATTAGTGTGTATGTGTGAGGTAATTAGTGTGTATGTGTGAGGGTGAATTAAACGTGTGAGAGTGCATTTAAGAAGAGTTACACTTTCAATGTATATCTCCTAAAAAAATCCAAGTAAATAGAGAGCATGGTTGAGAGAAAGTTGATATATTTTGAGATTATCTAAGATCTTTTATGTGGCAATGATGTGGCACTAGTGACTCATAAAAAATCTGTTTATTTGAGGAGCATGAATGTGGATGCTCTAAATGATAGGTGCATTTAATTCACGTACACGTGTAAGCTAGTCTATGACGGAAAACGCCCAGATGGGGGGTGTTGGCACATGGCACCGCATTTAATGCGGTTGTGGAGCGTCAAGCAGATAGGAGCTTTTGTCGAGAATGGAGGCCTTTGGTACCGGGACCGAAGACTGTGTGGCCGAAGGCTGATGCTCGAGACCAAAATTTACAGTCATGCTGTTGGGCCAAAAGTAGTGGCGTTCTTGAGTTTGAGGCCCGCAGCCATGGAGCCGAAGGCCTTCCCTATGCGATATGGGCTTTATGGAGCTTGGACCGCTCTATTTGAATCGCGTGAACTTGTTGGACCTGTTTAAGGTAGTGAGAGTATGTGGACTAGGGATTTCTCGCCATATACTCCATCACATATTTGGAAAACAAATGCCTGAGCCCTAAATGACTAAATACCATAGCGGCATAGCCCCACTTCCCAGGTTCTCAAGGCAGTAAGGCCCTCAATTAATGGAATAATGGGCAGTGCGGTACAGTCGTCCCCCAATTATCACCCCAGGCCATTGCCACCCCCAGCCTAGTGAGATCACTCGTGTGATGATATTCTATCGTCTAATGACATGTAATTTTTTTCAAATTCATAACGTCCAAAGCCACGAGTAACCGTTTTTGCGAAGGAATCATTGATTTTATATTAATATATCAAGTATCAATCGTGCTAGACTCAGAAATACACATAGGCCGGAAGGTCGAATCGTTTTGAGATAAAATTTGACTTGAATAATTTGGATGTAAGTAGAATAAATGCTAGTTTAATTTGACACGGAGAATGTATATACTCCCTCTGTCTCTAATAACTTCGCCAAGTTTGACCGGCACGGGGAATAATAAAGTAAAAATTGTGGTTAAGGTTTGTCAGAGGAGAGAGAATGAACTGAAATCACAAATTCTTTACTTAAAAGGAAAAGTGACAAAGTTAGCGGGACATCCAAAAAAGAAAAGTTGGCAAAGTTATAAGGGACGGATGAAGTAATAACACTACTCCATCCGTCCCTATTAACTTTGCCAACTTTTCTTTTTTGGATGTCCCCCTAACTTAGCTACATGAAGTTATATACTAGTATATAACTTCATGTAGCTAAGTAGCTAAAGAGTGAATTAGAAATATTTTTAAAGTTTAGAAATAAAAAATAATACAGTGAATCAACCTTTGTCGATCACAAGTTAAAATGATGCTTATTTTTGTAGGATTCATAACTTTATTTTGACTCGTAATGAATTACGAGAGCCATAATATACTAAATAAAAGGTATTTCAGTTCTCTATATTCTCATATTTTCAGCGGCGTTGGATGACAACCCTGACGCACCCTTGGCTCCTCCCCTTCTGCCCGGTCTTGATCTCAAAAAGTGATGGCCGGGACCGGTCCCCTTTGTTGGCTTGGAATCTTAATTTCAGACCCCAGTTAATACAATTTATATATTATTCCGTACTGTGTACTACTCCCTCTGTTCCAAAAAGGTTTAATTGACAAAATAATTTTTCTTGGTTAATAGTAGTCAACTTTAACTAATCATATTTTTTTAATATGAATTTTTTTTAAACATAAAAATTATATAATAAAGTTCTTTGTTAAAAATATTTTCATAAAAGTATAACCTTTTTTAATATATGTAAATATTATAATTAAAATCATTGGTCAAGAAAATTCAATATGACAAATAATCTTTGTATAATGAAGGTTGTATTATTTCGCTCTTCTTTAAACTCAAGAAAACATTTCCTAAATAAGAGTAAAAAAATTGAAATTCCAAAATAGAAATGTCATATTTTTAATCCTTAAAGGGAAGTAATTTCTGTCGGGAGTTGACATTATCATACTTTAAACATTACAGATTTGATTTTTCAAACTTGTCAAAAATTACTAAAATATGAAAGTCATATTTTGGAATTCTAAAACGTTTTTACCCGCAATTTCCATAAACTCAACCATGCATACAATTTTTGTTTTTTACTTCCTCCGTCCCTAAAAGAACTTTCAACTTTCTCTTTTCGTCCGTCTAAAAAAGAACTTCACTTTCACTTTTTGGCAAAGAATTTTGGTTCACAGCAATTTTCTCTCATCTGCACAACTCTCTACCACACAATTCCGACTTTTTTAATCAGTGTGCCACTTTATTTTGGAAGAACATTTAGGGATGAAGGTAGTATTTATTAGGACGGTCAAAGACTCAAAGTTGACCAAGTTGAGAGAGGGATCATTCCAAAGAGAACACAAGATATGGATAACACCGAACATCGTCATCCACCTCACGGGATTCGATCTCCGATGCGGTCTGGCCGTTGAAAACCAAAAGAATTTGATCTCCTTCTTGTTCTTTTCCACCATTTTGGCGGCTGCAGAATCTTTTCCCTGATCGGAATGCTGTAAATATATGACGCCATCATACATTCTCTTTTTATAATTAAATAACATAAAGTACTCCCTTTTTATCAAATTATTTGACCCACTTTCATTTTTTGGTGTATCAAATTAATTGACTCATTTTCCTTTTTGGAAAGAATCCCTTTCAAAAAGCAGCTACAGTACTGCTACAGTACCACTACAGTGTCGCTACAGTACCAAAAACCTCTTACTTTTAATAAAGTCTACAGTAATTGTCTTAAACTGCGTGAAAAGCAAATGGGTCAATTAAATTGATACGGAGGGAGTAGCATGCATGATTCCTTTATGTCTATATATAATGGCGGTCGATCAACTTCCTTCATCCATCAAATTCAGCACCAAACAAACATAACTAAGCTAATCATTACATAATCTTTAGCTTGTTGTACGTAAAGAAAGTAGCTTAATTAACTACTCGTATAAGCTATTTATTCATTATATTAGTAGTAGTAATCATATAACACATGACGACAGTGTGGAGTTTAGCGGCAGCAAAGCCAGTGGTGATATTCAGCAAGAGTACGTGCTGCATGACCCATGCTGTTGATGTACTTCTCACCGGTTTCGGGGCAAGCTTCACCGTTTACCAGCTTGACGAGCTCTCAAACGGGCTCGCCCTAGAGCAGCAGCTCATGCAGGTCTGCCCCGCCCCAGGAACATCATGGGGCGGCAGCGGGATAGGAAAGCCATACTTGCCCGCGGTGTTCATAGGGGGTAACTATGTTGGGGGACAAAATGAGGTCTTGTGCCTCCATCTCAAGGGAGAACTTGTCCCCTTGCTCAAGAAGGCTGGAGCCATTTGGCTCTAATTTTGGTTAAATATTAACCAAAAGATTGGTTGCCAATCTCTATACGTATTTAAATGTAGAGATGGATCACTACATAAATTAAATACGGAGTACATAATACCGTATCATTAAGGAAATTGCAATTATATTGCTAATTTGGCTAGCTACTAGGGTTAATTAAACTTCTTTTTATAGTTTTATCAGCTGCATGTATGCATGCTTGCTAGCTTGAACAAATTAGTAAATGCGGCCTGTATATTGCAAATACTGCAATATAATGTGAGCTAGCTGCTATAGATTTTCATAATAAATTAAATCATACTCCGTATGTATTTAAGTCATAATAATATATCTAATGGATATCATGGAGTCAGACTTTTCGTTCTTTTGGCGTGTAATTATTGGTACATTTACATTTCTGTTCAATTTGTTGAAGTATATGAAGGGTTCAAGTAATTAAGAACCCCTACTGCTATATGATTACATTTTTACCCAATATGGGAAGAGATTATAATGGTAAGATAATAATGGTGGTCCTTAATTAAAACTAGAATTATTTTTAAAATGAAAACTTTTAATCATGATCAGTCATTTTTATAATCCATAATTAATATTGACAAGGTTACATTTTTATAATCATTAAGGATTAGAGGCAATTAAAATCCATTAAAATTTAGGATACTTATAATTTATAAATAATGTTAACCAACAACTACAATTAATGAAAAATTGAAATTAAAAGTTCTTTTTAGATTCCTTCGGTTGGACTACAAGAAAAGTCAATGATTACTTGTTTAAGAGGGAGTGTTAGTTAAAGAAGGCCAGGTGTTCCATTATTCCTTTATACTCCATCACGTGAGTAACTCGGCAATAATCATAACAAAATAATTTTTTAACAATTGACGAATTGAGCATGTCAATTGAATTGCACGGGTACGTGCCAGAGGACGCTCCTAAATCCTAAAATTAAGGATTTTATGGTACTTTTACACACCATATCTTTGAATTATTTAAATGTGAATAAAAAATAAAAATAATATAACGGTGGTCTTCTCTAAAATGAAACATTGAGTCTTAATTTGGAGAGTATTGCTATATGATGGAGTAAATGATACTCCTATCATTTTTCATACTCACCCTACCCCACTAATATTAAAGTTAGGTATAATTGCTTCTCGGTCCAGGATATTTTAAAATCTTGGATCCGCCTCTGTCTTAATACTACCTCCGTCCCGGTGGACTTTGCCAAGTGCTGGTAGGTGAGAAATAAGAATAGTAAAAATTGTGTGGTTGAGATTTGTGCAAAGGAGAGAGAAATGTGTAGAACATCAAATTAGTTGCTTTAATAAGAAAATGACAAAATTTTTTTAGACAATAAAAAAGGGAAAGTTAGCAAAGTCAAATGGGACGGAGGGAGTATAATATTAGTTCCCATTAAATTTAAGTTGTGATTGATCCAATTAAGAGTTTAAGACTCAACAATGAGTTTACAGACTTCGAAAATTATTTACTCCACTGAGCTTACATCTTTGAAAGCATGTTTCATGTGTAAAGACAAAAACCAATAAACAAACGTTGATCTGCTTCTTAATCTCATTTTCATCATATTTAGCTTTATAAGTCAAAACACGATTTTTTTATCTAACACGCAAAATGGTGTCATAATCAAAATAAGTAAGATCGGAGATACTAGAAGTACATTTTAACTACTTCATATTTTTTAATATTACATCTCTTTAATCTATTTATATAATATATTTTAAATATAGTTTTTTCATAATTCAGTCGATTCAGCCGTTTCGCTTAGCATTTCATCCGTTTCAGCAAAAAATTAATTTCAAATGATTCAGCCAATTTCATTGTTTCCGAACCAAGCCAAAATCTTAGAGTACTACTCCCTCCGTCCCAAAAACAACTTCCCACTTCCCTTAAATGGATGTCCCAAAATTAACTTCACACTTCAATACTTTCCTTATTTGGCAAATTATCTATATATAAACAGTGTCAAACAATGTCCAAACAGTGCAAAATAGTGCACTCAATAGCAAAGTCAAATTTACTACCTAAAAGTGTGTGAATGTCAAACTGTGAAGTTGTTTTTAGGAGTATGTTATTTCAATTTAGATTATTATTTTGTTAAATGGGATTTTTAAAATTGAATAATTTTGGATTTGGGGGAGCTGATCGTGACGTTGTGAATAGTTGTGATGGTAGTCAATTAAGGAGACTCGCGTAAACCCATAAAAATAGTGACGCTAGATTAGTAGGGACTAGGGATATACGGATTATCTACTCCGGAATTAGTACGTAACAAAATTGGTAAAATAACTTTATAGAGTGAATTTAGCATAAAAAAATGCTTGAGTTACACAAAATATGTACATATGTCTGTCCTTCACAGAAATTTTGTCTATCACAGATAACTCATTTTGTGTGATACACAAAATGTGTTCCTCTAGCAAAAGGGTACATTTTGTGTAATGAAACTTACCTCTTTCGAGTACTCCGTCGAAACAAAAGAATTAATCACCAGATCTACGTAGTATTGATTTTGAATAAAGAGTTATCAGTCCAGTCCAGTCCATTCTACTACAGAGTACAAAGACATTGAAGAGTATCGCTTTTACGCTGTTAGATTAGGAGCCTCTTCGCTAATACCTAAATTGACTGTATTGGTTGATTCTGCTGAAATTTATGAAGTTCTGCCTGAAGTGGCAGTATAGGCCGATTCTGTTGAATTTCGAAAAATAATATTTAAAATATATTTTATTAATAAAATATAGAAAAAATTAATATGAAAACAACTAAAATGATCATCTACAGTAACTTCAGGCAATACATCCTAAAAATAAATACAACCTTACCTTTTCTTATTATTGCGCAATCAATAATTACATGTTTGGTAAAAAAGTTGGTTGATAAGTTTGATAAACCGAATATTAGGATCACCAAACCAGCTCTAGGTTTCAGACTTTCACTATTTGGTCCTTTTGCTCATTCTACTTGTCAATGGGTCTCCTAAAACTCGGTTCTTCTTTTAGTTTTTCTTTGAAAATGTTCTTTAAGTATTGTACGCTTGTCGCTCATTATTGATAAACCGAATATTAGGATCACCAAACCAGCTCTTATTCTTTTGATTTACGAGGCATGCTCTTATAGTTACCAACTAGTTATGATTACGCGCGATGCGCGAGAGGATAATGCCCAATTATAGTTTTGTGTACACAATAATTTTAATAATGCATTAAAAGAGTACTCAGTATGTTACAACGTCAAATGTAAGACTGAGAATTTAGTAAGATGTACTATGGTTTACAAAATAGTGGGGATAGGCATGTTAAAAATTATGATTTAATGGCGGAATGAACATGCTAAACAAGATAGAAATTTGATTCTTGGAACTAAACTTATTTAGTGACAAATATTGAAGGTGAGATAGAATGTTTTTGCAGATTAAAATACAATCATTGTGTGGGTTCATAACTTAATGTGGGAGGTCCATATATAAGAGGAAAAAAGAAAGTTGACGGCTTTAGAAAGTGGTGTTAATTGAGTTAGCTAATCTAAGGTAGTATATTGATTGATAACCTACAGGTATGTGAAGGGAGCGAAAAGTGAATGTGACTTTACATAAACTTTGCACAAGTGAAAATAAAATAGGAATGCATCCATTAAAGCAACTATAAATCAAGGAATTAAATCACTATGATGAAAGAAATGACAATAATTAAAAGACAATGTCATAGGCTCAAATTAAAAAACTAAAGCAATTGCTAGGTTTCATGTCAGGGACGGAGCCAGGATGTAATGTCAGTGGTTTTAAAAGAATATACCAACGAAAATTACCCTAAGGAGCGGAGATCATATCAGGCCGGCCTGACGGGAATCTCCATCAAGCCAAGGCCATATAGGACCCTTCCCGATCGAATATTTTGCTCAGATATTTTGAGCATGTTCTTCATTAAGTCTAGTTTATGTCCGCCAAATTTGAGCTAAAATTTCAACCGGGAAAGCAGTTATAATTTTTTTACAAAAACTGCGCTTTATGTATAAACAACGCAGTTTTTGTAAAGAATTTAGTTAACTGCCTTCCCGATTTAAGTTTAAGCTGCAATTTGGTTGGCAAAAAACAGACTTGATGAAGAACATGCTCAAAAAAGTTCATCAAAAAATTTCACCAGAAAGAATCCCAAATGGCCTCGGCCGGTCTGACAGGTTCGCTTCTCTTACCCTAAATGAGAGTAAAAATAATGTGAATTTTTAATTAGGAGTATTATATTATTTTTTTAGTTTCTTATTAAATATTATCAACATTATTCTTTCAATAATACATAAAAAACTTGTGAGATAGGGGAGTTTATTATATATATTGACAGTTTATAAAAAAATAGTGCATGTTGTCATTTTTAACACTTTCAATCTATATATACATATACATACAACAAATATATAGTTTGATTGGTGTCATTTTTAGCACTTTCAATTTATTTTTACATATATATACAATAAATATATACTTTGAGTGGTGTCATTTGACACTATAACCCAACACTTGGCTCCGTCCCTGTTTCATGTGCGATTAAGTTTTCATGTGACTGCCCTCATTCGGTCCTCTAATGCTTGTTTGATAGGGGTGATTCGGTTGTGCTAATAGTTGGGGTATCCTCATTGTGGGATTTTCTTCATCCGTTTTGTCATGTGGTGAGAAGAGTTGTGCAATGAGTTCAGAGTGTATTTAATCAACAAATAAAAAACAAACCTAATAAATTTAAAGTGTAAGAAATTAAGTGAATCATAGTGTGCGGAAGTAAAATTTATATGAATCAAGCAATATAAGTATATACTATCCTCCGTTTCTTTTTAGTTGCAACAAGGAAAATTTTACACTATTCACATAGTCTACATTGACTACATTTTATTTATTAATGTATGAAAACTTATTTTTTTGAAAAATAATGTTAAATTCATCTCGTTACAAATTTTCATTATCTAAATTTTAATTTTTTAACTAATAAGGAATTAAATATTTTATTTAAAATTGTGCTTGAAAATGGGGGATGATGCAACTAAAATGGGACAGAAAAAGTAACATTTAAGCGTTTTCCTAATAGTTAATGGTCATTAGCCATTTATCCCTCTATGAGATTTACGCCTTTTCAACACTTTTTGGAATTGGAATTGGTGACATTGATCATTTTTAACCCCCTGATATAATTAGTTCTATAATTTATAAATAAATGTATTTGTACAATATGTCATTCATGATTAACCAATTTCATCAAAATCGTCAAATAAGTAACAATTTTAGCAATTTCAGCCAAATTCGCGTTTACCAAAGAGAATTTAATCTTAAGTATATATCTTTTCATATATACCATAAAGGATTATTAGCTAAATACTCCCTCAATCCCATTTTGTAAGATGTTTTTCTTATTCACTGGGTCA